AATAACCGCCATCAAAGCTACGGCCAGTTGTTTGTAATAGGAAAAGTATTATTGTTACGATATAAACGACTAATTTGTAACCAGCGCCTTGTTCTGGTTTGATTAACATGGAGCACTTTGGTGTTGTTACGTGTGCCAAGTAAAAGAAGAAACGTGTGCACTGCTAAAGGTTTCTTTATTCTCACGCATACGTGTACTCAAGTGGATATCGGTACGACTAGCCACACTGTTCTTGTTATTTTCACAGACGCTTACTTTTACTAACTTTTAAAATCAGTTGATTCATCTCGGCTCACATCTGTAGTTTGTTGTATGTTAATTTACCAAGTATTATTTATATATTGACAGACATAGATGATCATGTGCCAAGACTGGATATAGATCAGGGTGAGACTGGATGACCTGGCGCCTGGTACGTTCGGGCATTTTTATGCGCGAACTCTTATTTTTTTTTTTTACTGGCATGCGCACAGGTACTATTTCTTTTTCTTTTAACAAGTACCCAAATCGGGGATTTCGTGCGGAGGTAGTTCGGAGGTAAACAGTCTGTGAAGTACAACACTTGCCACTGTACCTGTATATCGCTAATTATAAACCGAATGTGTGAAGACAGTTCATACATATCACTCAAAAATTTTTCAGTACAAACTCAGTTGATTCACGCTCGATTTGCTACTAAACAAACCCATCGGTTTATTTTCTCAACAGTGTGACCCGACGTGACCGCGGATTTATTGACCTTGTATGAACTTATCCATAGCTATATCCTTACACCGAGAGAAATTATCTAGTCTCGGTGAAAAGAACCATGGTCATCTGGTAGAAAATTACTTTTGTATTTTTTGGAACGGAAAACAGTGTTTTTAGAAGCAAACTAACCTGCCGCACATGAGGAAGTCATTATACTAATAATAAAAGGCGAGACCTCTTTTTGCGGCGCAGGCTTATCACTGAGTAGTAAACCCTCCACAAACAATAATATAGGAAGCCTAGTGACGAGTGTAGTACTGTAAGTAGGCTATAGACTATAGGTTTGAGTCGTGATTACTCGCTTTCAGTTTACTCTGTTTTTGCGATAACCAATTAAGTGAGAAATACCATACTGACATTCGGTTTTTAAAAGTTGTACGCGAACTAAATGCGTTTGTTAGATACTGACAGAGCAGCCCCGAGTCGAACAATCGCCGCCCGAGCTGTCTTCGTCAGCTAGTTTCACAATATCGTGCAATAGGTGAATTAATGTGATTTTTAGGTTTAACCCCGCAAACAATGCCAAAATAGTGTTTTCACTGCTTACAGAAAACTGAAATTTAAAAAAAAAATTTTTTATGAGGGTGACCCTCCCACACACTCCCTATCGAGGCTGCCGCTCGGTCTGCGCAGCCTCATGCCTGGCACATACTGTCAACATTGTATATTTTTCCGTTTCCGCCCTTCCCCCCCACAATATATATTTCACGGCTACGTTGCGACGGTACCAGCATACCCAGTTGTTGACACCCATTACATCACTCCTGTCTAACAAATCATAAAGCTGTGGTGTTACGGTGGCGGCATAGTATTTCACCGTAACACCACAGCCACTCTAACCATTCATAATACATCTAACTATCCCTTTACAGCACTTCACTCCCTACACATTTCCCCTCGTCCTACTTTCCCAAACGTCAACAACACATCTCATACATCCAGTTCGCTGATTAACCCTTGTACCACGTCTACTGGATTGGTGGATATAGTTACGGGTGGGACTAGATCGGTTATAGATGAGGATGAGACTAGATTGCATATAGATAAGTCTGATGTATGTGAAGGAACATCAGTAACTTTAACGTGTTCTTTTAGTTCGTCCGGACTTTTTATTACGTGGAGACGAAATGATCAGGGGATTTCAACTTGTATATCTAAATGTGATCAACTACCTGGTTATACTATAACCATTGATTTTAATACTGGTATAAGTATTGTATATATCAACAGTACATCAGCAGTAAGAGATGAGGGAGAATGAACATGTACAAGTGGAGGCAGTATGGACAGTAAAAATCTCAAGATTACAGGTGAGAAGAAATTCAGATTTATTTGTACAATGTTATAAATACTATTCAATTAGGACCTTACTACATGCGTATTATTTAATTGATCATAATGTCAGGTAATGTTTCATTTTATTTTATTTTACCATTATTTCAGTCCCAGCATCCAGTAAAATCAAAGATAAAAGTAGATTATTATTTACTGATGGTATGGTAACAGACGTAACGTGTTATACAGGAACTATAGATCCAACAGTTTCATTCACATGGTATATAGATTCTACAGATAATACATTATCAGGACAGACTAGTGGTGTTATAAATGGTGGAACAGCTAGTATCTTACAGTTAACTATTGCCAAACAACTGAATAATAAAATACTCTACTGTTCAGCTACCAATCGGTGTGGCACTGGTAACACAGATAATATCACTCTTGATATAATATGTAAGTTATAATAAAATAATAATAATATATATAAAATCAAGGTATGTGTGTGTGAATGTACGTCGCCGCGCACCACCTCCACATCTGTGGTATCAAATTAACCACCATGACCTCGTGAATATTTTAGGTCAATAAATCGGGGTCACGAGCGAATCGGACCCGAGCCCCGGGCAAAATGGACCCAGGCTAATTTAGCCCCGAGGTATGAATAGATTACCCCGTTGAAAATGTCGACAAACTGAACGAAAACGCCGAATCCGGAGATACTTTCAGAGTTAATGCCACCTTTTACGAAAAGGACCTGAGGAAAATGAGAAAACCAACGAGGTTACAAAGGCGACCTAATTCATTGTCACATGAAAATTGTCCTTGATTTTAACGTAACGTAAAAATGAGAAAACTTTGTGTTAGATTAAGGTCATTTTCTGACATTACATTTTCGTTAAAAAGATAAGCAAAAAATGATGGTAAACTGACTGGCCATTTTTACGCAAATGTAACGCAATTTTAACGCCATGATGTTATGTAGGTTCTGGCGGGTTCTAGAAAAAGTTGGAAGGTTCTGGAAAGTTGTGGAAAATTTAAGAATGTTCCAGACATTTCTAAACATTTCTTAAAAATATATTATCCTGGTCATACCAGTCCTAGGGCAGAACTTTCTAAGTACTTCGAACAGAACTGAACGTTTGTCGTAAGTTTGTATTTGACCAACGTGGTTTGTGTTATCAATTTACTGCCACTTCGTGCTGTTGCGCTTATGTTGAATGCGATTTATCTGTTATGGCGTAGATTCTTCTGCTTGAGGTATTGAGTGGATCGTGAATCTGTACGGCGAATTTGGGCTCTTGGTGAATTTGAGCCCATGGAGAATTTGAGCCCCGTCGAATATGTGCCCGTACGAATTTACGCTTCTGTGCCGCGCCCTACATCTACATAAATGGCATCGAATTAACCAGCATTGCCCCGTAAATGTTTTAGGCCATCGCATTTGGACACCGGACGACTTGGGCCCAGAGAGAATTTGGGCCGCGGTGAATTTGGGCTACAGGTAAATGTAGGCCCCGGGCGAAGCCTAGTATCCTGCTAGTATAAGATAATAATATAAGATGTGGTTACAATAAGATGTAAGTTATAAGATGTATGTTATAATCAAATCTATATATATATTTGAGACTGTCGTTTGTCTGTCTGTCTGTCTGTCTGTCTGTGGGGGTTGGCGGCTACACTAGGTCTGCCCCGAGTCTGAAATTTGGGGTATATGGGTAACTCGGATCGGGGAGTAACCACGTCCGGTTTCGGAGTTATGACACCCGAGCGAAGTCTGTCTGTTCGGGGTTGGCGGCTACATCTGCCCCGAGTCTGAAATTTGGGGTATAGGGGTAGCTCGGAACGGGGATTAACATAGGCCAGGTGGCGTTAGTCTACCACTTCCGGTTTCGGAGTTATGACCCCCGAGCGAAGCCGGTCTGTTCGGGGTTGGCCGCTACACAAGGTCTGCCCCAACTCTGAAATTTGGGGTATAGGAAAAGCTCGGACCGGGGAGTAACATAGGCCAGGTGGCGTTAGTCTACCACTTCCGGTTTCGGAGTTATGACACCCGAGCGAAGTCTGTCTGTTCGGGGTTGGCGGCTACATCTGCCCCGAGTCTGAAATTTGGGGTATAGGGGTAGCTCGGAACGGGGAGTAACATAGGCCAGGTGGCGTTAGTCTACCACTTCCGGTTTCGGAGTTATGACCCCCGAGCGAAGCCGGTCTGTTCGGGGTTGGCCGCTACACAAGGTCTGCCCCAACTCTGAAATTTGGGGTATAGGAATAGCTCGGACCGGGGAGTAACATAGGCCAGGTGGCGTTAGTCTACCACCATCCGGTTTCGGAGTTATGACCCCCGAGCGAAGCCGGGTATCCTGCTAGTCTATTTATATATATTTGTGACTGTCGTTTGTCTGTCTGTCTGTATGTCTGTCTGTCTGTCTGTCTGTCTGTCTGTCTGCCTGTCTGTCTGTTCGGGGTTGGCGGCTACACTAGGTCTGCCGAGTCTGAAATTTGGGGTATAGGGTCAGCTCGGACCGGGGAGTAACATAGGCCAGGTGGCGTTAGTCTACCACTTCCGGTTTCGGAGTTATGACCCCCGAGCGAAGCCGGTCTGTTCGGGGTTGGCGGTTACACTAGGTCTGCCCCGAGTCTGAAATTTGGGGTATAGGAGTAGCATGGACCGGGGAGTAGTCTACCACTTTCGTTTTCTGAGTTATGACCCCCGAGCGAAGCCGGTCTGTTCGGGGTTGGCGGCTACATCTGCCCCGAGTCTGAAATTTGGGGTATAGGGGTAGCTCGGACCGGGGAGTAGCATAGGCCTGGTGGCGTTAGTCTACCACTTCCGGTTTCGGAGTTATGACCACCGAGCGAAGCCGGGTATCCTGCTAGTAATATATAAGATGACAGTTATATTAATGTACAAGATGTAAGTTATAATAATATATAAGATGTAAGTTATAATTATATATATATATATTACAGATCGACCAACAGTACATATAGAACCACCAACAAGTCCTTATAAAATAATAGAAGGCATTCAACTGATTTTAACCTGTTATCTATTACAGATCCACCAATAGTACATATAGCACCATCAACCAGTCCTTATAAATTAATACAAGGTAATCAGCTGACTTTAACCAGTACTGTTGATGATTCTAATCCACAATCTACAAGTTTTACCTGGAGTAAATATTGGTGGATCTGAAATTGACATATTTATGCCTAATAACTATTTTGTTTTATCTTTCATGTAACCATTAATTATGGATAGCAGAGTCTTGGGTATATTGTTTGTATCTGGGTTAATTGTTGCCACAATGTGGTTACCTTTATAACATTTTAATTTATAACATTGTAATGGGGTGAATGTCTGTTAAATCCAAGTAATTAATTTTCTCACAATATAATAGGCTAAATTCAACCCATTAGTAAATGTTTAATATGTTATGCTAATCCGCACAGTGTTACTTAATTCAACGAGCATTATTTTTATGGATCTTAATCCACCTCAATTATCCCCCATTTATATCTATTTCATATTGTCTTATTTATTAAAGAAATATAATTCGACCCTCGGCCCTACTATAGATCACATTCGAAATATGTACCTGTATTTGGATATTTGGATCTATACGCTTATGTCAATTCGCATTTTCATTTTGGTGCTTTTCTACAATTAAATATTGAACCAAGAGTGTTCACAACAATTGTTGCTGTACTTTATGTTCATCAATTTATAAACAAAGACTATAACCAAAATGAGCCCGGTCTTAATTTATTTACCGTGCACCAAGAAAGAAACTATCCATGAATTTTCCCGTTTACAAAATTTACCAAAATAACTCATCCGTTGAGATCATCAATTAGCGGCTAGCACTTTCAGATCCATGAGGACATCATCAGACCCTTAATATACATTAATCATTACATATGATTAATCAGTGCATATTAATAAAGGTGTTTATGGTATCAGATCGAGTGTTATTATTAGAATTTGGTCAATTAATATCACCCTTTAATATGTCGATATTCTAGCAGGGCTGGTATCCTCTGGTAATCTTTGGTAATCGAGTATAAATTTTAAGTATTATTTAAAATTTCCAGAACTGTCTACTGATTTATGTATATAAACAAATATTACAACTTACCAGGAGCAGACGGTACCAAGTATGCCTCCGATCCACCAGAACTGTAGTCCGCCCTGAATCTAACTCCTAATTTGCCGATTTATTTAGTATTTCTATCTTGTATGTCAGGCCGTTATCTTCGCAGTAGAAGTTAAATCCTTTTATTTTGGCTGGACCCACACATCCCGTTCCCGACGTAGAGAGTATAGAAATATAAACGTAAACATCGTTTTTGAACCAGTCAACAGTAGATCGATTCGTAGGAAGCTGAATTGTTATGTTAAATGGTCCATTATCGGTTACCCCTTCCTCAACGATGACTTTGCTGTAAACATGTACTGAAAATCCTAATAATATGAAAATACAAATAGTAGTCATTACATAAAGCCACAACATCTTAACATCTTATTAAATATATATATATATATATATATATAGATATGTGTGTGGGGAGGATAAAAAACAAATAGAAAATACTCACTGAAAACTACAAAGTAAACCAATAAACTAAAAACTCGAAGTCGCCACATTGCAGTTGTTCAATTGATTTGTCATTTAGCCTATTTCTCTCGCTTACAGTAAAATAACTGCCTGTTTAACAGACACGGCCATTGTGATTTCGTGTCTCATTTTCACCCCCTGCTTACTCGTAATAATCTAAGGTTTATGTTTGGTATGTGTATTGTATTCAATACTATATCATAAACACCGAATGTTAAAACCCGTTAAAACGTTACATGTAAATATTCGCTGTGTGTTAATACAACCCATAAGTATTTTAACACCGGTATGGATGCAAGGCCCATTTTTATTCTCATAACCTATTGGACTGTATTGATCTATGGTAAGTACATTGTCAAGATGATTTTGTAAAATTAATTGTACACAATTTGAATGGAGGAGGTGGGGGTAAAACTAGTGAAATGATGGGTGTAGAAATGATAGAAAATCCTGATAAAATGAATGGGTCCAGTAAATAAAAATAAAATTATAAATATTCAGTGAAACAGGGATTTGTGAGTGACGATCTAACATGCAACCTCGTTGGTTACAAATCTAGCTCATGGCGTATGAATAAGAAGAAAGCCCAGTATATATTTCGGTATAAAAGCTTGGATATCATATGGCCTTAAAATCAGTGTTATCCTTATCGCAACTAAAATGCAATACTTAACCCATAAGTGCATAACCATTTTTGGTTCCCAAACCCCTTTCGGGCATAAGCCTTATTCCTGGCATTGCAGCGGAAATTGGTGCCAAATACAAAATTGAGGAAAAAAGTATTTTCTGACAATGACAGACCCTACAAAGTATATATATTTAGAAAGAGTATAAAAAGGGCTTTCTGAATCTCTAAAGAAAATAAGGGAAATATTTTTTACATGAATGTAGGTGGAGGTAGAATTGACAACTTGAAATCAGGAAAAAAAAAAAAAAAAAAAGTTCCCAATTCTGAGTGCAATAAAAAATATTTATTGATGCAGAGTGATAGAAATGAAGTATGCTACTGTCAGAGGCATCTCTTTGGACAACAATACAGTAATTTTTTTTTGAAAATATACAATAACTTTACAACAGCAGACTTTTGAAAAATATATGGTGGTCCAAATTTTTCTGGATAAATTGTCAAATTTACATGTAGTTAGTTACTGATATAAAAATGCATGGCAACCATTCTGGAAAAGGCTATATCACTTTCAAAATCATTTGAATACATGAATAACAATGAAATGACATAAAAAAATGCATTCTGACCAATTGTGCATCAACAAAATCTGAAATAATGTAATATAAATGGTATGAACTAAAAAAAACTCACCCAATCTTGACTTTTGGTACTACATATTCAAATCCAAAGTGAATAATTACAAAACTGATAAATGTTAATGTGTGATATCCAAATTTCCAAGATAATTGTGATGCTACAAAAATATCCACTAATCTACATGTAAGAACATAGAACAACGAATAGAATAGACGACACAGCTAGCCAAAGCACAACAAAAATCCTCCACCATTCACAAAAAGCAACGTTTACAAAATACACAAAATACAATGCACTAACTAATTTATATTCTAAGTATGAATGAATGGTTCCTTTGTTATTATCATGAGTAAAGCAGAACTACTTATACTTTCATTTTCTTACGGACTTTTGGTTTATTGCGTCGATTTGGATCATCATACTCGAACGTGTCCAAGTAATGGTATCTAAAGAAACAGGGATCAGGACACATTCTAACCTGACATACCCTGCAAATATATGATGTCTCACAACGTTGCATGTGTATTCTACAATTTACAGAAGTTGTCATTTTTTGAGGGGCATGTTGCAGAGTGTGATCTCGGCGTTGGTCATCATTACGTGGAGCGGCATCAGAGTGTTTGCGGTATGATCGACCACCCACAAGTCCCGTACTCAACGCCTCCCGAAATTCTCGAAGTGTAAGCTGGTCATCTCGCACCCCTTGTCGTCGTGGCGGTCGACCTCGTCCCCTCCCTCGCACTGAGAGGCCCCGAGCTGGCGGCTGAATCAAAGGTTGATTATCGTCAGTGTCTGTACTGCTACTGCTAGGATCCATACCATCAAAACTATTATCACTAGAAACCTCATTGTTGTCAGAGTTAGCAGAATCAGTGGGTGACATTTGATTGGCACTATCAGTATTATGCCTAGTAGTAGTATTGTCAGCTACTTGGTCTACGGCGATATCATCATTATCAAAATCGTGGTCTAGGCCTATATCATTATCAATATCGTCATCTGATGGCAAATCAGAACCTGAATCTGAGAATATCCCAGAAAGTTCTCCCCGGTTCAGAGAAGTAGCAGCCCTCTTATTCTGGTCATAAATCCTTTTGGAAAGGCCTAAGGGGATATCATCATCCGAGTCACTGCTGCTGCTGTTATACATTTTGAACACTCATCAAACTAAACTGAATCACAAATTTTAAATATCTACGATTTCTACGTGAAGCAGAAAACTGGACAAAATATCGCTATTTTGCGTAAAATTAACACACAAATGTAGCGTAATCCAACTCACACAGTAGTCCTTGGCAACTATGAATGACTGAATGGGATCCTGTACAAGTCTTGTCTTAAATCGGAGAAAATTCGCGAAAAATTACAGAAATTTTACTCAAAACATTGCCAGGACGGCCATGCTGGTTTTAAACAATGTCGTCACAACCGGATATCCCGTGTAACCACCCGTAGCGCGGTAAATTCAAGCGGTTAAAAACGATACGGGAAATTCCGTAGCCATGCAATTTCAGCCTTTGTTTACTCTACGGCGTAGGCCGTAGCCATGCACTTATGGGTTAAGCGATAGGATTTAGCCAACCACACATGATGACAAATGGTGATACAAACTTAAGCATATGCACTGCAATCCAGAGAACTATAATACGAACGGAAATCGTGTGACGGGGGCTGATTATATTCATAGGTCAGGTTAGATATGTAGTACTACGGACTTCTTTATTTGTTGTGTTTCCATGTGATCGTAAATAATACTACAGTAATTGGTAAACTGGAAATAACTTTGCAGGTTGCTCGTTCTCGAATATATAATGGCTTCTTGGAATAATCTGATGAGAGTCTAGTTAAAACTTACTTCAACCCTTCAATTTATACCCATCTCATTTCAGCAGATCCTTGGTACTTTTCCATTGAAAATACGTAATAAACTTGTTTATTTCCCACCACTATCAGAGATAGATATTACCGTATTTGGTCTAACAACCATAGGACAATAAACAGCCAGAATTTGATGACTTAGTTTAAACATATTTTATTGACAAATATCAAAAGGATTGAGCACAAGTTTAAAAAACTTAGAAAACCCCTTTCCATACATACGAATGATTATAATTTGACCAAAAAATCACTGTTTTTTACGAATAACTATACCCACGTTCATTAAGTTCGTGAGATTTGACTTAATAGACAAAATTGAAGAGACAATTTTATAAAAAAAAAAAAAATTAAAATTGTCTCAAGGGCCAAAGTGCTACAGATATAGATCATTCTGTTGTATGCGAGGGGACATCAGTTACTTTAACATAATCTATTCTATGTGTAACTATGTTTATATTTATAGGTGAGGTTAGTTTAGATTATCATGTTCTATTCTATGTGTAACTATGTTTATATTTATAGGTGAGGTTAGTTTAGATTATCATGTTCTTTTCTATGTTTAACTATGTTTATTTTTATAGGTGAGTTTAGTTTAGATAACATGTTCTATTCTATATTTAACTATGTTTATATTTATAGGTGAGATTAGTCTAGATATAGATCAGTCAGATGTATGTGAGGGAACATCAGTTACTTTAACATGTACTGTTGATCCACCCCAAATGTCCATGACATGGAGACGAAGTGGTATCCGAATTGCATCTTGTTCACCAACATGCTTTAATCAAGAGTCTTATCATAATATAACCTTTAATACTACTGTGGGCATTGTGTACATCAAAAAAACATCCTTGATAAGAGATGGAGGAGAATGGCAATGCATGCCTTTGGGCAGTAGAGGCACGGAAAATAAAACTCTAACGATTACAGGTGAGGGAAAACTAATAGTCGGATCACAACCTTCAGATCCGTGACCATTTATCGGGGAACAAGGTTTGACGATGGTTTCTGATAGAGGGGACCCTAGGGAAGATATTTGCAGTTTATTACCTCTGAAATCTACGGGCTAACTCCAGGAGAGTCAAAATTCCAAGATGGCGGCCACAAATGGTCTGAAATTGTCCTTGGCAAACATTGATGGCGAAAATACCCGTGTAATATGTCATTTAATACGTTTTGTTGGTCACTGGGCACATTTTGGACAGTTTCCGAACCATCTCACGAACGTTTGGTCCTATATGGCCGCAAACATCCAAAATGGCGACAAATTTGCTCGAAAAGTGTTACCGCAATACCAATAGCAACGTGCCAGCATACACGTATGATATATCGTTTCAGGGCTTGTGGGGGACGGGAAACATGAATATGTCATTTTAAAGCTGATGGAACTAATTTGAAAGGAGACACCATTCAAAAATTAAGCATTTTCACGACTACCGATATATGTTAAGAACCATGAATTGTTACAGATATACATGAAGATTATTCTTCATAAATTGCTGCTATCATAATAAGTTATAATGCACCATATAATAATGTAAACTACAGTATGTGGATTCTGGAGTCTGTAATGCTGCATAATGTAGGATGGATAGTTAGCCCATTTGACCTTTTCCCATGAACTATCACGATTTTGTGATGCTTCCAAGTTACTGAGTATTTTGGGGGTTTTCAAATATAAGCCACTGCTTCCGAATTTGGGCATTTATAGTCTTGTCAACGTCCATACACGTAGGCGGCACTCAAGTCCCAACACATTTCAAAGTCAAAAAGAAGTTACATTACCAAATCTGTGTCTTTTTCATACTGGCTGAATGGATATCTCTGAAACGCGGTAAAGATCACCAAAGATGCTAATGTTGAGAGTTAGTCGGAAAGAAGTTGAATAATTTTGATAAATAGTGGCAAGAATGTTACTTAGCCCGTGGTTGTTGAGCTTTGGTCCAAAGAAATTACTCATTCCCATAGTTTTTGTTGCAGCAAAAGCACCTTGATTGGGCATATTGTGTCCACTCGTTAACTCGGTAGGCATATGGATTAGGTGGTGCTTGTCCAGATTCGTGCATGTGCCAGGCATCGATTACACGGGCAATCCAATCAAAGAGTGAAATCAAAACTAATTTAGTGTAAAAGATTTATTTCATCTAATTTTACATAATGATATGTTTTTCTCACATTTCCCTGCCGTAGCCCCTACTACTTGAGTATTGGATTGGTGGCCGGTGTAAATATTGATCTAAGAATCATCAAACCTCTGCACGCCGCCTAAATAGTATGGAAGACTAAACAACTCTTTATTCAGTGTTCTTAATTCTTAGTTCTTAATTCATGGTCCTTAAATCTTACTTCTTCATTTGTTGTCCTATTTGAAGTCCTATTAAGAGTAATTAGGTTATTATTTGATAGTGATATATGTCTTTGGACACACGAAAGGGGACTTTATATCGTCTAAATCATGTACTCATTGATGTGCCAGTAAATAGAGGTCAAACGATCCAAATTATATCTGCTCTAACAAGTTACGTAAATATGAATATGTCAGAAAATATTTTTCAATTTTACAATGTATTCGGACCTTTTCTAATGGTACGCATCCCGATATCTTGTATTTTGTTTTATGGTCCGTATTTTGACGTTAAATACCCCCACCCACTCCTCATTTAATACATGTTAGTGCCATTTCAATTTTCTTTTTCAAGGTATGTAATTACAAATGTGAAAGAAAATAATTTACATTTTGTAGCAAACAATAACATACTTTCAGCTGTATATGAACAGATATCAAGAATATATTATTAAGATCGTTTTTTTTTTACTTTAAATATCCCCCCTTCCCCTCACTTAATAAAGTTTAAGTTTTATCTCTTTTCAAAGTATATAAATATAAATGTACCAGAAAATAATTTAAAAAGTTGCACGCTATTAAACTCTATTAATTGATTGGGAGTGATTGGGTGGGGTCTTAAATGTCAAAATACGGGTCATACTACGACATTCCAGATATCACACAGTTCCATTTACCTTTTCAGAAATGTAAATTATATTCTGGCACATATAAATTGATATAGCTTGAAAAGGATATTACAGTTGGATGACGCTATATTAATAAGTTAGTGGGGTCGGGTAGGGTGGGGTATATTAAAAGTTAAAATACGGGTTATCCTGGTAATGCATGAGCGGAAAGTTGTCTAATGGAGAGGGTGATTAATGGTATCAACAATAACATGGTTTCTCATTCATAATTTGTTTTTAAATAATTTAATCTTTATTTTTAAAATTTTGTAATCTTTATTTTTAAAATTTTGTAATCTTTATTTTTAAAATTTTGTAATCTTTATTTGCAATATGGAAATTAAGGGTTTAATTATGATCAGTTGTTGTTTTAGCATGGATTTGTACATTACATCACCCCCCTTTGGTTTCTCATTGATTAATAATAGTTTACTTAGGTATGACTTTGAATGGCTTCGGCCTTATTTTGTTAATTAGTTCATTGTTATCTCTTTGTATATAACCTTCTGTAACATGTTGATTGTGTCATTGCTTGATAACGGTGAGAGTGTCCTCATACTTATACTTACTGTTACAGCTTTTTGCTCAGTTATTATGGTTACTTCCATTTATTCATGTAATATCCGTAAAAACCTGAAGAATAAAATAAACATAATTAAGAATTTCGATAATGCAAGTATAATAAATTTACAAGAAACATCGCTTATGTCACAAGATGATATTAACATATTTGAATCATCAACAAACTATAGAGTCTACACATCGAATGGCACATATAATAGTCTGGGAGTAACGACTTTGGTTAGAAAAGATCATAAGTCGGAAAATATAACTATTGATCGTTTCTTTAAAGGTCGACTTCTACACATTATGTTATATCTAAATAACGTAAAATTCAACATAATTAATGTATATGGTCCAAATAATTACCGTGAAAAAAATTTATTCTATGAAAATCTGTCAATACATATTAATACTAATATAAGAAAGGAAGATAATTTAATTATCTTGGGGGATTTCAATATTATTACGGATTTGATTGATACTAAAACAACATTTTTACATGGCCCAAAGGCTGCTGAAATTAAAATTTCTCGGCTAGTGACAGATTATAAACTCATGGATGTATATCGATCTATATACCCAAACTCAGAATCTTATACTTTTTCAAACTCTACAGGCAGTGCGACAAGGATAGATAGAGTGTATATCAATAAAACTTTGTCAAGTATTATTACAGAAATAAAACACATACCAAACACTATTTCAGACCATAAAACAGTTCTTATGAGACTGAAAACCAGTCGAAATAATTGGGGTAAAAGTTATTGGAAATTAAATACATCAATTTTGTTTGATACAATATATAGAAAACATATATCATATTTCTGGAAAAATTGGCGGGAGGAGAAAGAAAAATTTGAAAATCTATTAGACTGGTGGGAAGAAGGAAAATATAGGACTAAGGAAATTTCAATAATACACTCGATAAGAATAGCAAAAGAAAAAAAAGAAAATTTATTGTCTTTATACAAGACTTTGGAAAATTTAGAGAACACAACCCTGGTAAATAATCTCGAAATGGGTAAAATTAAAAAACATATAAATGAAATTGAAAATAATGCAAATATGGGTATTTTAATTAGATCCAAACACACTTACACAGAAGGCGATATCAAAAATATACACTTATATAAAATGTTCGAGCAGAAGAACGCCTCTAATAAAGAAATTAAAAAACTTAAAAATGAAAGTGGACAAATTAAAACAGAAGAAACATATATCATGGAAATAATAACAAAATTCTATACTCTTTTATATACTACACAATCAATACCAAACTCAAAAATCGTAGAATATCTTGATTCCACTATTTTTGATAAACTAGATGACAGTGATCATGAATCAATGATAGGTCCAATAACTGAAAGTGAAATTCTTCTGGCTCTAAAATCAGCATGTAACAATAAATCGCCTGGGGTGGATGGTCTTCCAAAAGAATTTTATATTGAATTTTGGGAAGATATTAAAGATGACTTGTCAGAAATTCTAAATAATGTGTACCTACAAAAGACACTTACTAATACTCAGAAATCGGCAATTATTTCCATATCATACAAAAATAAAGGGAGTCATGCGGAACTTAAAAACTACAGACCAATAAGCCTTTTGTGTATGGATTACAAACTAATAACTAAAGTTTTCACTAATAGAATTAATCACTTCTCGATAAAATAATATACCCAACTCAGACTGGAGCTGGGGACAACAAGACAATTCAAGATAATTTATTATCAATTAAGTTTATTCTAGATTATATGAACGAAAAAAATATAGGTGGCGCGTTAGTAGCCTATGATCAAGAGAAAGCTTTTGACAGAATAGAAATAAATTATCTACAAATCCTGCTTAAAAAGTTAAATTTTCCTAGATATATTCTAAATTGGCTAAATATTTTATATAAAAATATAAACAGCAAGGTTCTTGTAAATGGTGCCTTTACCGACAACATTCCGATTAATCGCTCGATACGCCAAGGAGACCCCCTCTCAATGTTATTATATGCAATAGCAATACACCCGCTTGCATCAAGAATAATACAAAACAAATGCATCTCAGGAATTAAAATACCAAACATGAAAATAGATACAAAATTGTTCCAACATGCAGACGATATCACAACTATTATCACTAACTCAACATCAATCAATCAAACTGTCGAGGAAATCACATCCTTTGGGGCTATATCTGGATCAAGACTAAACATTAACAAAACTGAACTCTTGAAAATAAACTATTTCAACAATACAACAGACTTAATAACTAAAGACAGTATTAAAGTTTTAGGAATCTATTTTGGAAAAGATATTAACTGGAAAAAATTAACTGATTCTTTGTTAGGTCAACTGAAGTTTTTTAAAGAACGGTCAAAAAATCTGTCTCTTAAAGAAAAAGTAACGGTACTTAATACGTACATTCTTAGTAAAATCTGGTACACCAGTTATATAATCCCACCTGATAAATATTATCAATTTATTATTAATACAATAATTTTTAAATTCATTTGGCCAGATAATATAGAGTTAATTAAACGTCTAACGCTCACCTTAGATTTGGAAAGAGGTGGGTTAAAAATTCTGGACATAAACTTAAAAATTCAATGTTCTCACCTTAAAATCATCAACCAGTTAATATTCAGACACTCTAAACCTCAACATGCCTGGATAGCTCTAGGGTTGTGCTGGTTTGGCATTACATTAAGGAACCATATTCCATACCACCCATCCATATTATATAACATCAATTCACCATCAACTATCTCTGAAATAAAAGATACTTACTTTAATCACTCGGCACTCATCAACTGGAAATTAAAAAATGAAACAAAGACGATTTATACAGAACTTTTATTAAAGATAAAACATACACCTAATGTAATTTCCAATAACAAGGGGCTAAATCTTCAAAACGTATTTCATTTCCAACAAAACAAATTTCTACTGAGTAGACAACGAGATTTTCTGTATTTTATTGTTCATTCTGCACTTAAAACAAAGCAACTTTTACAATCACGTACTTTCCATAGAATTGATATAACTTGTAATTATTGCAAAATTAAAGAAGAGACACTTACTCACTTGTTTGAAAACTGTCCGTATTTATATTATTATCGTAAGTTCACTACAACACATATACAAAACATCTCCGATAACAAATCCTTCCAATTACCTAAACCATACTTTAATTTGACATCTTATAATAACCAAACTATACTATTTCTTTTCTATTACTTTTATACTGTGTGGGAAAATAAAGACAAACTTTTGGTTTCGGATGACTTAATATTTCAATTTTACCATGACATTACTTCGCAATACTAGATTTTTTTTATTTTTGAATTTTTCTACATATGTAAAAACGTTTGAGTTTGGTGCATTTTATACTTTCAGATTGTGTAATACTGCATTTACTTGTTTATCAAATGTATGTTAGATTTAAAAAAAAAAAAAAAAAAAAAAAAAAAAACCTGTTCTACGTTTAAAAAGAAGAAAAGAAAAAAAAATCGGGTCACATAACGCATAATTACATCATTATAAAGCTGTCTGTTATTATGAGCGGAAAGTATTTATGTATTTATCCCTCTTTCAATATATTACTTATTCCCTGGCACACCCAGGGTTAAATGATTTAGAAGAGATTAAACACCCTTTCTTTTGAGAAAAACAAATATGCCGCTATCAGACAAAACCTAATTTCTGAAAATAGACCACTTTCCATTTATTTTCTTTCTCGGAGGCCCGGTCCGATTAGCTATACTACACACGTGGTTTCAATAGAGTCGCGGTCATCGAGCGATTTTTCTTATTGTGTATATGCGTGCTCGATTCCCCATTATTGTATAGTGACTTATTGTATGCCAGGTTGATTTCCGCCCATGTCTTCATAATATTACGGTTCGATGGATTTCGAGAAATGTTTTGGGAGAAATTTTTTGTAAGATTTGTATTTGGAGATTTGTATTTAGAAATTTGTTGTTCCAGATTTGTTTTTCGTTGTATTTCGCTGATGAAATGTAAATGTAGGCTAAGTTTTGATTTTCTAAAATAAACTTTATCTTTTTATTAAAATACAATTAAAATACATTTTGTCTGATATGACAAATGTCTGATTTGTAAAACAAATATTGATTTTAAGATACAAATGTTAATTTTAGTGTACATATGTCGAAATACAACAACAAATGAAGAAATAAGAATTAAGGGCTATGAATTAAGAAATAAGGACTAAGAACACCGAATAAAGAGCTGTTTGGTCTTCCATAAAATAGCACCGTGAAGGGGCATATTTAGACTTTGTGCACTTCTTGATTCTCCTAAAACTCATGATATACCACTGCTAAATTCATAACCTGATGCCAGGATTATGCAGGGTCAGCTTTTGATGGAACATTTGGACTTTAAATATTTCAATACAAATTTCTCTTTAAAGCTGCCCCTGCATAATCATGGTCATGGGTTATGAATCTATCTCATTTCTCGCACAGTTGATAAATCCTGGATAAACATCACTCAATCAACATATATATTAAATTTTTTTTAAACCCATTAAAGGGTTTGGGGGAGTCAAAATTTGGTCTATCGAGCATTTGGTGTTTCGCCCAAACTATGGGATCCAGCAATTGCATTTGGTAAGTAAGATTCATGCCATCAAAATTATTCTCCAATTACTTTTAGGCAAACTCCTATCTTTATCATCTTGGGGTGGTGCCGTATGACAAAGAAGCAGATTTTGTATAAAATGTCATCTATTTGACCACTGGATCGTAATAGTTTAAGTCAAAAGAGCTTACTATTAACCCTACATGATGCTGCATTACAGACTCAAAAATCCACCATCGCCTCTATGGAATGACTGGAAAGTAGTGAATAGGGAGTGTTTGTCTATATGATACATATTCGATGTTCTATATCTCCCAAAATAACAATACTTCTCAATCCGAGTGCGCTAGTCCGATAGATGACTCAAAATACAGGTTTTTATTATATACTTTATTATATACTCCCAAAGTATCAAATCACAACCTGCATTGGTATTTGCATTTCAATATCCTCTACTTGTATTTGAAGAGTTTATATACATAACTACCCTATAAACAGTATTATACAGTCAAAAGACATACAATTAACAGTAATTACCATGCCACACTAACACTACCCCAACACCCACCCACCCCCACCACCAACCACAGACAATAGGCAAACATAAAATCACCTCGTCATACCCCACATGAAGAGTAAATACAGGATATATTTGGTATTTTAGATTTCTTAGCGTTGTAGTTCTTCATTCGTTCCCGCACGCTTTATCAAAATATCTGTTTTCCTTATTATTATTGTGTTGTCCTCTATATGAAAGTGGGCCAAATTATAGAAACTAATACTCAAAACATGCTGGTATTCGAAAGTCTACAGTGTAGTTCGATGTGTGCACAGATAATGTATTATTATTCAAATCTGTTCAATAGATTCTCGATATCTTAGTTCTTGCATAAAATGTGAGAGGCTAATGATAAAAAACATCGATGGAGTTCGTATGTTCTTTTATATTCTTATCCTAAAATATTACATTTTTAAAATCTAGCTTAAAGTCGACACTAATTGTTTTTATTATAGTTGATATCTCTTCCCGTATAGGGTTATCTTTTCTACGCTTATATAGATAGTGTTCAGTAGTATCTAACTCATTAAACCACATTTCATTTCATTTCATTCCATTTCCTATACACCAATCCTGAACAGACAGACGACAGTCACAAATATTAATATAGATTGCAACATAATGTATCATGATAGCTTAAATATATGCAGGGTAACATTTATGGATGTCTGGAACAGTTTATGCTTGTTATTATTACATAATGCATAATTGTTCATGGATATCATTACATATTTAAGTCTCTTGTCGTGAAAATGCTTACTATGGTATCTCCTATCAAATTAGTTATATCAGCTTTGCATATTAGCGTTCCCCATCCCCACAACATCTGAAACCACGACATATGAAACGTGCACGTTGCTACTGGTATTGAATGAATACTTTTCGAGCCAATTTCTGTCGCCATTTTGGACTTTGGCGGCCATATTGGATCAAGCCTTTGTAAAGTGAATCGGAAATTGTCGAAAACGAGTGGAGTGGCACCCAAAACCTACAAAATCATATTTCACACGGGTCAATTCGCCAACATAGTTTGTCAAGGGTCAATTTCAGATCATTTTGGCCGCCATCTTGAATTTTCGGCTCTCCTGGAGTTAGCCCGTAGATTTCAGAGGTAGCAAACTACAAATATCTTCACTATAGGGTCCCTTCTATCAGAAACCATCGTCAAACCTTGTTCCCCGAGAAATGGTCACGGATCTGGAGGATGCGACCCGACGATAACCTTTATTATTACAAATGATATTACGTCGTGCAATACTTATGGGAGGCATGTCTACTTTTAATTTTTTCATTATTTTATTTCAGCCCGAGCATCAAGTACAATGAAAGATAAAGGTAGATTATTATTTACTGATGGTATGGTAACAAATGTAACGTGTTATACAGGAACTATAGATTCAACAGTGACATTCGCGTGGTATATAGATTCAACAGGTAATGTACTACCAGGACAGACTAGTGGTGTTATAAATGGTGGTACAGCCAGTTACTTACAATTAACTGGTACCAAACAGCTGAACAATAAAACACTCTACTGTTCAGCTACCAATCAGTGTGGTACTGGTAACACAGATAATATCACTCTTGATATAAGATGTAAGTTGTAATAATATATAATGTATATAATATGTGAGTTATATGCTTAACTGTTAAAAGAACATGCCAGTGTTCACATTCTGTGTTGTCTCCGGGTTCTCCGGTTTCCTCCCAGTGCACAAGCGAGTTATTGAAATAGAATTTAACCATATGTTAGTCCCGAATGACCGAGTTTGTGTCAAGTGGAAATACATGACAGCTCGATCAAACTCTAGTCAAGTTTCGGTCACGGAATGGGTTTTTGTTTTTAGAGTAACGCAAATCTTTGATTTATGCTGAGATGCTAGGCCTTTAATTGCATTATATTCTATTTTAATATTTTCATCATATAAGATGAAAGTTATAATAATATAACTATTCCAGATCGACCAACAGTACATGTAGAACCATCAACCAGTCCTTATAAAATAATAGAAGGTAATCAACTGACATTAACTTGTACTGTTGATGATTCTAATCCACAACCTACAAGTTTTACCTGGAGTAAAGATCGTGGCAGTATTACAGGTCAAAGTTCATCTGTATTCCGTCTGACGTCAGTACAGAGATCACAAGCTGGACAGTATACATGTACAGCTAATAATGGAGTTGGAACAGGAACATCTACATCTGTACAAGTTGATGTTTTATATCCACCTACTGTGTCCACACCATCTATATATAAGATACCAGAATCTGATGTTTTATCTGTAACTTGTAGCAGTACCCCTGGTAACCCTAATGATACTAATTATAGATGGACTGGACCTGATAGATATAGGTCTACTGGTTCTACATTACGTATAGCTGATATAAAGAGGAGTCAGACAGGTGTTTATAATTGTACAGCTACTAATATCATGATACCTACATCTACTAATATACAACAAACAGGTACAGGTACAAGTCAGACAACGATTGATGTTTTATGTAAGTATGTACCGTTTAACACTTCTCTTTTATCTGGTTCTCTGTCTTCATGTAATTGTCATAAATGTGTAAATATTTTGTTTGGTTCAATATGATTGATAAACAGAATTGTACACTACTTTGGTCTTTTCTCGTTATCTTTTCAGGGATGTCCAATTGCCAGTGTATGAAACCACCATTAATTGGGGCTTGAGCGATATCTAGCTTTTCCCTTTTTGTCAAAAATTAGTCTGTTTTCCAGTTCTAGTTGCAGATCTTTTCGACCACTAGTGCTCTAACTGGTTACACAAGACAATAATTAGGCAATGTGGGAATATATTAACCTCGCAAATACAGTAACAGCTTTTCAGTCTTCAAAAACATTTGTCAATTTCGTTTGGATTATTTAGCTAGGCATAAGAATGAACACTATCGACATCTTGAGTCGCACGACGACCCTCCAAATAGTTGTTATTGCTTAAGCGATCTGCTAAATCGGTAGCTGACAATACGAACTCAGTGACGAGAACAATAGATATTCAGAGTAAGGGTGCCGGTATTTATAGCCCACCGTTTTCATCTACTCTTTTTCTTATTCCAACTATCGGAAAATATTTCAGTGACTGCCACGCAGTAACTTGATACATATTCGTATGTTCCCTCTAAGCCACTATAAACCATGTCCTGTCATATTTGACGCTTTACCTCCATACATTTACCACAGATCTAAAATATGTGTTTCAGATGGACCAACTGTATCTGTATTAAGTGAATCTGTTGTTATAGAAGAATCAAATCCTCTAACTGTAAGTTGTATGGTAGATTCTAATCCTGTATCAACTATTAAATGGTATGGTCTAGATGGTCGTGTAGTATCTAATAATAAAGATTTAGTTATAAATAATATCAACAGGCATCAATCTGGTATATATAACTGTACAGCTATTACAGTATTACAACCTACTAATGGTACTCAACAAACTAAAACAGATAGTAAAACTGTACTAGTTGATGTACGATGTAAGTAGATAAGTAAAAAAATCTTTTATTATGTTGTCCCTATCTGATACAAATTGAGAAGTTCTTACAGTTAACTATTTTATTATATGCTCCCCATCTGTCACATATTGAGAGGTTCATGTACCATGTAAGTAGATAAATAAGCGAATATTGTTTTTAAGTGTATAGTATTTGTAAACAAATAAGAAGTTATGTCTATTAACGGTTTTTGTTGCACACTGTTAACATGCCAATTATACAGATAAAAAGGGTTTGGTTAATTTTGTTTAAAACAAGTAATCAACCTATTATCCGTCCCTGTTCTTTTGTGTTATTTCATTGGAAAGTCATTAGATAACATTAGTTCAGATTTAACTTTCTAAGTCATTAAGTAACATTAGTTCAGATTTAACTTTGTTTTTGTTTTGTCTTATGTCATTGGGTGACTATATAAGTCATTCTATATCAATAGTTCAGAATTAACTTTCTAAAATCAGATCAGTGGTTTTTAATTTAAATATTCAGATCTGGATCCAGTCATCATTCAATCTGATACAACTGATGTAGATGAAGGTCAGCCGTTCAACTTGTCGTGTTCTACCAATAGTAACCCTATAGCTTCCATGACATGGTCTTCACCAGCTAGTAATTCTAGACAACTAACCACCAATTCTATCAACTATTATAAACATATAGCTGATTGTCTAGATACAGGAATATATACATGTACAGCTGTTAATAGTCACATACAGAAAACTGTTACCAAATCACAGGATGTAAATATACGATGTAAGTCGACAATGAATTTAATGAGTTGATAATAGTTAATGATAATTATTGATGATAATAAAAATCATTTATATAGCAAGCAGTTGATATATATTTAAGTGAACTCGATATATTTAAAACTGCTTGGTAGTGTACGGATACCTATTGAGTTGAATTGCGTTATAGTTTCCATTGACGTCTGGTTCACGAATATTAATTTTTCTCCTGTATCTATGCTCTCGTATCATCGAAGATTTCAAATATTCATTAATAATTCTACTAACATCATAATAAATTGCAGATACATTATCAAGAGACGGTGTTATGTATTTGAAATAATAATCAACCATCGCTAACCCCTCCGTCGTATTGTTATTATGCATCACTTAATATATTTCTTATTATTAGGTTATCCTCGCCAATACCCCAACATTAACCATGTCATGAGGGTTTTTGGTAATGTATCTGAAACAGTTCTACTATCTGTCAGTATATTGGCCTATCCTCAACCAACATTTACATGGTATAGACTGGACAAACCTATTAATATAAACGATGAACTGTATCAACAAGTAGATGTTATTAATTCCACTAATATATTTATGTCAACTTTAACTGTTAAAATCAATTCATCTGAACTGTACGGAGATTATAAAATCAACATTTCCAATGATATTAACCATGCTATTTTGATTATATCACTTACGACACAGTGTAAGTATATATAACCAATCACTTAATTTAAAAAATAAAACAATGGCAGGGAAACACAAATAGTGCTATGTTACGCAATATGGTGATTTTACACATATGTCTACAAATTAAGACTAATATTACAGACTGTCAATTTCAAACCATTGTCTTTATTAAAACTGTGATCAAGTAAATGGTCATCTAAACTATACGGTTGATTTTTTTGTCTAGCTGTACCCGATATACCAAGTGAATTGATATTGGACAGTTTATCCCACAGTTCGATCTGTATTAAGCTGAAACCAGGTTTCGATGGTGGAGATACCCAGGAGTTTATATTTGAAGATTCTGTTGACAACACAACTTGGATTACTTCATCAACAGTGACACTAACTAGCGAAGGCGATGTTTTAAACGGCTGTATAGAAAACCTCAACCCAGACACAGCGTACTTTGTGAGAGTAATTGCTAGTAATAAGTTTGGTTCATCAAAACCCGTCCAGCTTGTGACTCGCCAGCCGCTGCGGACATCAGCTAATCCACATGAATCTGGTGAGAATGCTAAATTACAATAAGTTATATACAAACTTCACTGTACTTCACGGATGGCGTCTTGTCAGCAAGTGAGCCAAGGTGTATTAGACACTTTTTCACAAACCAGAGATCCTTGAATATTCATTGCAGCTTTCACTTATACGTTAGGCGCCCCGCTGACTTACTGACTACGGGATTCGAGTCCGAACCCGGTATTGGTGAAGAAAGTTCATTTTGCTGCTTGATTTTTCCTTTTCAGGGCGCATAGGACAGTGTCTCCTCATCCTTATATCAACCGGGATAATATGAAAGGATTATGATTACTGATTTAATTTCTATTGCAGATCAAAGCGAGGACAATACCGCATTGATCGTGTGCCTATGTCTTGCTATTGTGATAATTATTGGTCTTATCATTGGTTTTATTTATCAACGTAGAAAAAGATCAACCGCCGAAGGTAATTTAATTTTATTACTGATAAAGATTAAACCGAAATTTATAATATGGACGATTTTCACATTTAAAGTTCAAATTGAGACCATTTGGAAAGACATAAATCATTTTTCACCCGGTTAGTTGTGTGATCTTCATGTTTTGTTGTTCAACCGTATATTGCATGGTTTTGTTATTCATCCTTATATTGCATAGTGTTATTGTTTTGTTCACATTGCATGATTTTGTTGTTCATCCTTATATTAATAGGATGTTTTGTTTTTATTGTATGTTTTATTTCTCCTTATATTGCATAGTTTTATTGTTCTGTTTATTTTGGATGTTCTCCTAATAATGCATGGTTTTATTTCAATTGTAGGTGACAATAAGACCAGTGGGTAAGTGAAGTTTATACAATAATACTTAATTAGCCTAAATGAAAAGTCTATGTTTTATTTCGTGAGTGTGTTGGATCATACTTATGTAATACAAATAACTTGTAAACTACAATATTGTGAATGATGAATAGGGTTAGGGTTAGTCCAGAAATCAGTCCAACAATGGTCCAATATTGTTCAGATATTTCTAAAGATATATGGAATTGAAACATCATCGACCTATACCCTTTGCTATGTAATAATCCCACTGCCATTTTGTTGTCTACGACCATTTAATGATACACCTTTTCAATTGTGATAAAATCCATTATGTTGAGTTGGTATTTTGATTTCATTTTCTTAATCAATAGTCAAATAATCAATACCAATGGCGTATTTTTACCTTGATTGTAAAATTAATGTCTTGATTTTAGAATATTTCTTTCTTTTTTACAGATCAAGTATAAAGAATACAAGCAGTAAGTAGATTAACTATCATTTAACGTTCGGTATGCCATGGGGGGGGGGGGGGGGTAGGATGGCTGAATGGTTAGCGTGCGCGCGCTGTATCATAAAATCTGTCATTGAGATCGCGTGGTTTCGAATCCCCGGTTGTACGTGACAAGGAGTAGGGTCGCCTGTCCAACCTCTTGGGTTTTCTCCGGGTCCTCCGGTTTCCTCCCACTGTTAAAGACCCCTTATGCGCGAGCGAATTATTGAAATAAAAATAAAAACCATATGTTAGTCCCGAAATGATCTAGTTTGTGTCGAGTGGACGTTAAACCTCATCTCTCACTCTCTCTCTCTCTCTCTCTCTCTCGGTATGCCATTGGTAGTTTCATTAAGGTTTTCGTGCTTCAATATATGTTGCATACAAGGTAATATAAACTCATCAACGCTTGTAATAATGACACGTACTCCAATACAAACTGGCAATATATATAACCCTTAATATAATGGTGATATAAGCCCAATAAATACTGACAATAGCCGTAACCCTTCATATGATGATATAAGCCCAATAAATACTGATAATAGATATAACCCTTCATATAATGATGATATAAGCCCAATAACCACTGACAATAGCAGTAATAAACCCCGCCATATCATGATATCAAGCCCAATACTGACAATGGCTGCAACATAACACTTCATATCATGTTGATAGTAAGCTCATTACTGACATTACTTGTAACAATACTGATATTTAGTCCAATGAATACTAACAATAGCTGTAATAAACCCTCCATATCATGATGATATTTAGTACAATAAATACTGGCAACAAACTCGCCATGTCACGATACTTAGCCCAAGTACAAACCAATAATATACGTCTACATGAGTGGATTATAAAAATAAATTGTGCTTTTAAGGCGAGAATTTCAAATTTTCTAAGAAAGTCAAAACATAATTATTTCTATGTCTTTTGCTCAATAGGTTATCAAATCACTATTATACGATCATGGGCATTATTTCCCACCCTTAAAAATCTATGACACAGGAAATAACAACACAATTACCTCCCCTGTTTTGCTATTGACAACATGGGGCAGCCATTTTCCAACGTTGGAATTTGAAGTTAAAAATTATATTTTTGCCAATTTGTCAGCTGGCAATAGCGAATTATAGGATTAATAGGATTATTCTTTAACAAGGTAGGACTGTTTATGTATACCATCTATTTTTGGGCTTTATTTTAATACATTATAAAAATATAACTTGAAAATTTGCAATTGCAACTTTAAGATAAAGCAAATGACATGGAAATAATACTTTTTTACTTTGACTATTTCAGATTCGTCAATCTACAACAGCCTAGAATTAAACACTAGAACTGAATCATTACCCAGTCCGTATAGCAATTTAGGTGACGCATCCCGCGGAGACAAACCAGTGTCCAGTCCATATGAGAATTTAGGGGAATCATCTGGAAGTAAACCAGTGACCAGCCCATATAGCAATTTAGGTGACGCATCCGGCTCCTATAAAAATGTTGATGACGCATCCGGCCCATATATAAATTCAGGCGAGACATCCAGAAGTGACCCCGAATACAACCCTTATATCAATGTAAGCAAAACATCACCCAGTCCATACGTAAATTTACGCGACGCATCGAGATCAAACTATTGACCCTGTGTATCATAATTTAAACATACATTATGCAAGAGGTAAATCTGCCTATTGCAGGTCTTTCTTTAGTCTTGAAATGTTTTCTAAATTATTCATTAGACATTAATTAACAAAACAAGATCATAATCAACTCTCGACGGCATCGTGTTCCCTTTCTTAAACTCACGAAACCACTTTTTTGTACATAGAGTTCAAATAGATTATAATAGGAATAACCATCTATCAAGTAATCTCTGCTTCTGGAATTTACACCGACGCATTCGTTTTAACTGCATGTAGCGATGTGGTACATAGATAGGGTATACTTTGAATAACTTCTCATATGTGGGTAATATACATTACTTTTTAATTTGTTCTCATATTTTTTAGCATTGACATATTTGTTTTTTGAAATAACTATTTTTTGACATTTTTCTGAATATAATTAATTCGCAGTTTACAATCTGTATAATAAATTAGTAATTTTATCATATCATTTTCATATAATAAATTACACCTTGTTGTCCTATTATAATAAATTACACTTTTTTCTCATATTTTTAATATAATAGATTACAACTTTTTCATATATTTTGTTAATGTAATAGATTACAACTTTTTCGTATATTTTATATAATAGATTACAACTGTGTGTCATATTTTAATATCATAAATTACTACTTTTTGTAATATTTTGTTTTATATTATAAATTAGTAATTTTGTTATATTTTTCATAATCAATTATTACATTTTCGTAATTTGATAACATAAAATTACTTCTTTTAATTTGTTGTTTCTTTTAAATATTATAATATATATTTTGTAATAAATGTTAGCAAATTAAAAGAATAATTCATATTTCCAACCTGTTTAGCATCAAAATAGAAACAATATAATACGATGCGATACGATACGATATGATACGTCACGATACGATACGATACGCATTATGAAAATGATAATTTCTTTTTATTCTTTTCAACTTTCAAATACACCTTTGCTGTACACGTGTATAATAATATATAATAATAATAATAATAATAATAATAATGTCATTATATAGCGCTAGTACACACGTGTGTGCCATTTAAAAAGCTTTATTGTGCATGTATAAAACTACATAAAGTCCAGACGAGTAGCATTATTATTTCATTATTAGGGTTTCACACTGCGTAGCTTGTGTGAAACACTATTGTTTTTGTTAAAATTATTAGGGTTTCACACTGCGTAGCTTGTGTGAAACACTATTGTTTTTGTTAAAATTATTATTCTTATTATTATTATTCTTCTTTTGTTTTGAGTAGATCTCAGCAACTGATTGTCGGATCGTTACGATTTCTTCGGTTTTATCGGAAAAGTGGGTGTGACTTAGAGGATAAAGCTATTTTGAACGTTCTGCGACAATGCGAAATGTCCGAAATCACCGAAGCTATCGTTTTTAGAAATATTGCAGTAATTTTAACAATAATCATTGGATTTTAACTTTCGATGCATTTTGGCATAGCCGGAGACGGGGCACATAGCTACGCTACTTTTGATTTTTGATTTTCGGCAAATCTTCGCAGATATTAGGCGCTAAATTTAGAAAATTTAAATTTTTACAAAAAACTTTTTTATTTATGAATATTCTTTAATCGTGTTTTACACAAATATAACGAGTCATCTGACTTGGGCAAAAATGTGAAAAATTTTTGTTTCGGTAATTTTCCTTGGCCCCCATTGGCTAATTCAGTTTTTCAGTCCTAGATTAATTATTTATTGTTCGATTTGTATAAAACAAAGTTCATATGCTCCGTTGTCTCAATTGTCATTTTGTTTGTTACCAATAGTGTTATCTGTCGGCACCGGAAGTGGCGTAAATTGACAAAAAACTACAATTTTGACAGTTAGGTACCATTTTTCGAAAGCAAATATTATTTTTTTCAAATCTGGTATAACTGAAATTGTGCACCCTTTAAAGGCGCACAAAATGTTGGGACCAGTTTTTTTAATTTCGATTCCGTTTTCGGGCTATTTCGATTAAAAGGTGAAAAAAGGTGTAAAATTAAGCTATTTACAACCCATCCAGCGTTTTCATATTTTAAAATATTACTTCGTAACTTTCATAAACTCGTAGCAATAATCTGTACGGAGAGAATGTATGTGAAAATTAATTTGTAATATGCGCAGTTGCCGAGAAATGGGCAATTTTGCATGAGTCACTTTTTACGCTAGTTTGCCTGTAAAAGAGTCAATTATTATTCGATTTTCATAAAAGTGACACCATTTGATGTGTAATGTCAATTTTAACTAGGTCAAACCAATTTAACATTTTCAATATCACCGGAAATGACGTAATTTGGGCAAAAATTGTATTTATAGCCTTCGAAACCAGTAATTTATTCAAATGAGTCATATTTGTTATTTGTTTAAAATTTTGATATTTGATTCAAATCAACTAATACAATGAACCCTTACGATCATATAGATATCACAAAATGGTTTCTAACTTGTTCAGTTGCGGAGAAATAGGCAATTTTCAACAGGTCACTTTTTAAGGTTTTTTGTCAATAAAAGTGTCAATTATTATTCGATTTTCATGAAATTTTCACTGTGTGATACATAATGCCATTTACGATTTCATACAAGTAATTTAAGATTTTCATTATCACCGGAAGTAACGTCATTTTGGCAAAAACTGTATTTTTAGCCTTCAAAACAGATATTTTATTCAAATGAATCAGATTTGTAATGTTTTTAAAATTATGATATTTGATTCCAATCAACAAATAGAATGAACTCATTCGATCATACAGATACCTCAAAATGGTTTCTAACTTGTACGGTTGCAGAGAAATAGGCGATTTTCTACAAGTCATTTTTCAAGGTTTTTGGTCTATAAAGGTGGCAATTATTATAGGATTTACATAAAATTTTCACCATGTGATGATGCTATTTCTGATTTCATAAACCAATTTAACATTTTCATTATCACCGGAAGTAATGTAATTTTGACAGGATCACTGACATGTAGCAAATGAATTGATTGCTGGATTTGGTTGTTTCTGCGTCCATTTTATTTCATGTGTGCAATGCTTATGTGGAAACCTGTTTAACGGTTTCATTGGTACAGGAAGTGACATAAGTTCAAGGGTAACGTGGCACCGGTGAAACCCGTCATTACTGCTTCGCAGTTCTAGTTATTCTTATTATTATTATTCTTCTTTTGTTTTGAGTAGATCTCAGCAACTGATTGTCGGATCGTTACGATTTCTTCGGTTTTATCGGAAAAGTGGGTGTGACTTAGAGGATAAAGCTATTTTGAACGTTCTGCGACAATGCGAAATGTCCGAAATCACCGAAGCTATCGTTTTTAGAAATATTGCAGTAATTTTAACAATAATCATTGGATTTTAACTTTCGATGCATTTTGGCATAGCCGGAGACGGGGCACATAGCTACGCTACTTTTGATTTTTGATTTTCGGCAAATCTTCGCAGATATTAGGCGCTAAATTTAGAAAATTTAAATTTTTACAAAAAACTTTTTTATTTATGAATATTTTTTAATCGTGTTTTACACAAATATAACGAGTCCTCTGACTTGGGCAAAAATGTGAAAATTTTTTATCTCGGTAATTTTCCTTGGCCCCCATTGGCTAATTCAGTTTTTCAGTCCTAGATTAATTATTTATTGTTCGATTTGTATAAAACAAAGTTCATATGCCCCGTTGTCTCAATTGTCATTTTTTTTGTTACCAATAGTGTTATCTGTCGGCACCGGAAGTGGCGTAAATTGACAAAAAACTACAATTTTGACAGTTAGGTACCATTTTTCGAAAGCAAATATTATTTTTTTCAAATCTGGTATAACTGAAATTGTGCGCCCTTTAAAGGCGCACAAAATGTTGGGACCATTTTTTTTAATTTCGATTCCGTTTTCGGGCTATTTCGATTAAAAGGTGAAAAAAGGTGTAAAATTAAGCTATTTACAACCCATTCAGCGTTTTCATATTTTAAAATATTACTTCGTAACTTTCATAAACTCGTAGCAATAATCTATACGGAGAGAATGTATGTGAAAATTAATTTGTAATATGCGCAGTTGCCGAGAAATGGGCAATTTTGCATGAGTCACTTTTTACGCTAGTTTGCCTGTAAAAGAGTCAATTATTATTCGATTTTCATAAAAGTGACACCATTTGATGTGTAATGTCAATTTTAACTAGGTCAAACCAATTTAACATTTTCAATATCACCGGAAATGACGTAATTTGGGCAAAAATTGTATTTATAGCCTTCGAAACCAGTAATTTATTCAAATGAGTCATATTTGTTATTTGTTTAAAATTTTGATATTTGATTCAAATCAACTAATACAATAAACCCTTACGATCATATAGATATCACAAAATGGTTTCTAACTTGTTCAGTTGCGGAGAAATAGGCAATTTTCAACAGGTCACTTTTTAAGGTTTTTTTGTCAAAAAAAGTGTCAATTATTATTCGATTTTCATGAAATTTTCACTGTGTGATACATAATGCCATTTACGATATCATACAAGTAATTTAAGATTTTCATTATCACCGGAAGTAACGTCATTTTGGCAAAAACTGTATTTTTAGCCTTCAAAACAGATATTTTATTCAAATGAATCAGATTTGTAATGTTTTTAAAATTATGATATTTGATTCCAATCAACAAATAGAATGAACTCATTCGATCATACAGATACCTCAAAATGGTTTCTAACTTGTACGGTTGCAGAGAAATAGGCGATTTTCTACAAGTCATTTTTCAAGGTTTTTGGTCTATAAAGGTGGCAATTATTATAGGATTTACATAAAATTTTCAACATGTGATGATGCTATTTCTGATTTCATAAACCAATTTAACATTTTCATTATCACCGGAAGTAATGTAATTTTGACAGGATCACTGACATGTAGCAAATGAATTGATTGCTGGATTTGGTTGTTTCTGCGTCCATTTTATTTCATGTGTGCAATGCTTATGTGGAAACCTGTTTAACGGTTTCATTGGTACCGGAAGTGACATAAGTTCAAGGGTAACGTGGCACCGGTGAAACCCGTCATTACTGCTTCGCAGTTCTAGTTAATACATTGTAACGGTAACCTTGATCCAGTCTGTTCGCGTGCACATAGACATGCTTGCTGTTATAAACAAGGACGATCGGCCTTGGTTTGGCTTTCAAAAATTCACACTAACTGTGTTTACAGTTGGCAAGGATCCAATGGTCATGAAAAACAGGATTAAAAATTATTGACCTGCCATTATCTATGGAATACGATGTAGGTTGTTTACAGTTGGCAAGGATCCAATGGTCATGAAAAACAGGATTAAAAATTATTGACCTGCCATTATCTATGGAACACGATGTAGGTTGTACTATCGAAAATACCTTAGCATGGAACATTTCTATTACCTCCCTAAATATGTTTTCCCCGAGAACAACTGTACACATCTGAGAGGGGCTTATAGGTATGGAACATGTGAAACGCATAGAAAGGTTACCGTCTTACTCGTAAATGAATGAGAATGGGAATATTGCCCCATGTACATATTTATATCACAATGGTCCATGGTTTATATTGAAAACCAATGTTGACACAGACAAATATTTCTTTTATATTCATTTGAATATGACATTAATGCAAAACTATTCCCCGTCGTGCTAATACATTTAGGTGTACGTGGATAGCTGTAAATTGAAATGGCGGCGACTTCCTTGTCGAAGTTTAACAACATTTAATCCAGTTGTATGCATGTACTGAATAGATATTTCATTAAACACTCCATTCATCACCTGTCAAAAAAACTCAATACCAGGTAAAATCAATATTTGATTACCAACACGTGTTACACAATAACTAGGTAATAGAATAGAGTAGACCTGGTTTACTTATTGAAATATTGGTTCATACCCACGGCCTGGTTTATTCAAACCCATTAACCCACCATGTTAATCCTATTCATTGACGTCTCTTCAGAAAAGGTATGTTAAAGGGCAGGTAGCTCTATTCTTTGGTATTGTAATTGAAAAAAATATACCATGTCATACGCCCTGGGTTTTTTGGGCAGCCATTTTACACAAGATCACTGAAGTTGAAAAAAAAATGTAAGATTGACATATAAAACTTACAATGCACCAGCTTAACCTTAACATTCTTTTAATAAAGTCACAGTAAATATGAACTGACATAACTGTATAACATGAATAACACCAATTTCATATAATCTTATCATTAAAAATCCCCGACAAAATCTGGCACATCATTTCTATTGCATATTTTATGTTTTCACTTCTAGTTTTATTTTATTTGGTTTTTTTTTCGTTTAGAAACTCTTTCACTTACATGGCTGTGTACATCTTTTAACACATCACAAGCTCGGGACTGTAAAATGCAATTCACGCCCAACGGTTGGCGACCGGATCCATTCACTACATCCGGAGTTCCACATGTGAGAAAGGTATCTGTACAAACCATTCGGAACTGACTTCGAGAAGCTGATTTCCGGACTAGGAGACCATATGTTCCCTGGCTGGTTTTCGAACTTACAAGAGTGGAACTCAGGAAAATGACGGCGAGTATGTTTTAACGACGACCAAGGTTTCCATGTATAATGACGTGATGGACAACACTATATGTAGGCCTACAGACGCCGCAATGAACCTTTTGCCATGGCGGGAGTCTCATGGTGGGAGGAGACATCTCCAACGATGATAGAAGTGAACTTGTGTTTGTGCAAGGAAAATTGGCAGCTGTACATATTTCCCATTTTAGATCAACAGACAGAATTAAGTTAGTTGCTCGGCTCTTAGGTAGATGATTTTAAGGGCGTTTAAAGCAGTTTTCTTCTCCAAAACATAATCGAGATTGACGCTCTAAGCATATTTGATAAAACATCAAATATAATAAATAACTGACACATTCCACATGTCTTTTGTGATGGCCGTTTAATAAAGAAGCTTATAAACTGAGATGCATATTATGAATATTTATATTTTAATATAATAAATCAAATTTTGTAATAATCGTGTTTACAGTAATACGATTTCTTTTTTTATAGAATAAATAAAATAAAATGATTACATAATATTCATAGCTACTAAACTTTCAACAGAAGTAACATTTTTACCACAACAATTAAAAAATATCAAATTAATAAATTTTGTAACTATTTTTACATTATAAAAACAAATGAAATATAAATTGATTACATTATTAGCACTAAATTGTAAACAGTAGCAATAATTTTAGCACGAAAATTTGAAAATATCAATAACTAATTGTTTTTATTTATTTTTATATGTGATTGGTTACTCTCTCTGATACGCTAAGTTATAAGGCTGTTATTTTATTCGTAACTATGGTATTGTTATGATGATATAAAAATAAACTTAATGCATTTTGCTAACTGTAACTTGATTTTCAACAGAGGAAATACTTACTAAAAATAACAATAATATGATAAAAATTGTATGTACAAAATGAATACCATAAAAGGAACAGATCATCGGGATTAATTAACATATGGGCTGGGTACCGTTTCAGTTCCTCTATTTAACTCTAAACTGTTATAGGTACTGGGTAGTGATTCACTTCTAGTGTTTAACTCCAAACTGTTATATGTTGATGTTTCTGAAAGGAAGAGAAGGACATGGAGTTTAACATCCACTCGACTAGGGCATAAGGTTCAATTTTATTTCAATAATGCGTTTTTGCGTAATGGTCTTTAACAGTGAGGGTTAACTTTAGGACGCAGAGAAAACTCACGAAGATGGACAGGCGACCCTACTCCTTGTCAAGTTCAATCGGGAAATCGAAACCACTCCACTGGCGTTAAACCACTAGACCACTCAATCCCCACTCTTAAAGAAAGGGAATAAACCTTGTTACATATATGACTAGAAAATGAAGAGAGTTTATTTTATTTACTAAATTACTTCATTGCAGATTTGAATCTGTTATAGATATATACATTTACAGGATAATATTGCTAGCATATGAATTTATTATTCATTTTTGAAATGGATAAAATAATTCAATATATATTTAGGAACAACTAACCTGCTGTATGACTTTCGCCATTTCTTCTGTAATAATAAATAAAAAACCGATAACACCAGATTGTATTATACAGATTAAAAAAAAAAAGGTTTTAAATGTATTTTCTCTTTTTTTTGTCTTTTTGTCGATTAAATAATTAATTTTTATTTTAAATGGGCCATGATTTCAAGGAAAAGTAAAACTATCTCTGTATTAGTCGTTAGCATGCAGATAGCTAACAATTATTGAAAAAATGTAATTTAGATAATTTATTTGTTACGGTAATAAATTTGACGTCGACATAAATCAGGAAAGTATACGATTTCTTTAAATATTAAATATCAAACTTACACGGTGACCCTCTTGTCATCTAGAAAATAAAATGAAACAAATGTCAAGAAATATGATGAATACTGTAAAAAGCTGTTTGGTTTACGTAATTATATACATAATACTTTTCCATTTGACATATTTATTTTGGCGACCTAACAATAAATTAATTACCTGTATTAGATTTCAGTTTACGACGCATTTTGATCACCAGGATTATTAAACCAATGGATATTGTTATAGAGATACCTAAACAAACACCTAAAGCTATGTATGGACCCTTATCATCATCTCCTACAAATAAAAAAATATCTATCTTTAACGTCATAATAATATATGCTCGACCTTTTATAAACCGTAAACTGCAGTATTGTCCTAATAAAGTCAAAATGAAAAATATGTTTCTGATTTAAGACATGTTTAATCTATTCATAACAAAACACAACACAAGGTATATATGGATGTAACTACTTCTCTATTATTTAATAACGACGTTTCGTAACACATACAGGTCACGTTTTCATGTTAATGATAAATATCCATCTAGTTGTTACGAAACGTGGTTATTAAATAATAGAGAAGTAGTTATATCCATTTATACCTTGTGTTGTGTTTTGTTATGAATAGTTAACCGTGCTTCTAGATGTCATTTAAAGATTAGATGTTTAATAATAGAGAAGTAGTTATATCCATATATACCTTGTGTTGTGTTTTGTTATGAATAGTTAACCGTGCTTCTAGATGTCATTTAAAGATTAGATGTTTAATCTATTTGAAGACATGTATATATAAAAAAGAGACTGCTATTGGGGTATGCCCTTCTACGTCTATATAACATACCTGGTACTGGAGATGTTCTAATTGGTTTAGCAGTCACCAAAGAGAGGGGTTGTGATTGACCAAACCTGTTTTGGACTACAACTCTGATATAATATACTGTATTAGCATCTAGATCGGTAATACAGTAGTCAATTTCTTGATCGCTTCCCTGTTTTACAGCTCCAGATAAAAACCAGACAATATTATAAAGTGAGCACTGAAATACAAATTCTTGAATATATCCATTATTTAAACCTGGTTGTAATTCAACACAGATAGAATCTTGGGTTACACGAACTAATTTAAAATCACGTGGCTGATCGGGTACACCTGAAAAATATAACAATGGATTTAGGGTTAACAAGTCAATGGTGATAATGATGTCCCTCGTCGCAATCCCCCAAAACAGAGGACACCCTTTATATCAAGTCGTCAAATTATGTAACAACAAATCTAATTGCTCATCTCTGCTTATACTAAGCTGAACATGCTCATCCATCCAAGCGAAAGCATTTAATAAACGGACATCCATTTTGAACATTTCTATCGACAAGAAGCAGGGTTAATATGTTCAGACTCTCGAATAACCAAATTTTTTATCTTTACATCGCCTGGGCAGAAAATGGCCAATGAAGCGATACACCAAGTTCCATCACTTTCGGGAAAATTGTAAAATTGTAAAATCTATATCATTTACTAACAATCAAATGGATATGGTCAAAACTCCATGATTGTTACATTGTACAAAGTACCAAGTAAATAGACGTTATCCGCCAATGTCCACAGATCAGATATGGCGTCACAAATAATTTCAGAAAGACATAGCGGTATAATGTAATACTGTAATAGCCCCTATTCTTTATAAACAAATTCATGTTAAAAAGCGCTACATATACTTACCAGAAATTTTCACAAGAACCGTTTTACTGTCCGTTTTAAGTTGTTGATTACCATTTGTAGGTTGTAAAACTGTAATAGCTGTACAGTTATATATACCAGATTGATTTCTGTTGATATTAGTTATAACTAAATCTTTATCATTAGATACTACACGGTCATCTGGACCATACCATGTAATAGTTGATACAGGATTAGAATCAACTGAACATGCAATAAACAAAGTTTCTGATTCTGCTTTATAGATGAGTTCAGATGGTAAAGATACCTTGGGTCCATCTTAAACAAATAATGGAACACATACCATTAAATATATTTAGAATTATAATTAAGGGAGCTAAATCGCTAACATTTGGGACCTAGAAATTGACACAATTGGGTCGCAATGCATATAATACTGTAATATGAATGTATATAAACTGATTTACATTCAGTGGTTTCCGTTTTTTACTCTAATTTCAAATCAGTTACGTTCGGCGAAATAAGCCAACAGTCTCAATCGAATGCAAATTTGTAGCGTCTGGTTATTCCATCTACGTCTACGTAGTATTTATTGCGCATGATCTCCAGATAAGAATATGGCGACGCCGTTTGATTTGGTGCAATGTGTCTAGCCGCATTATGGTACACTATTCGTGTACCAATGGTAAATTGTTTATTTTGTCTTAAATATTGGATATCAGAAGCCCATCGTTCTCTCATAAGATCACAGCATCAATGTTGATTTACATTGACAAATAATTCGTGTTTTAAATGTTGAAGATTTTTGATGATATTGAGTTAGAGACTTAGCTACTTTAAGCTAGGATACTCGGTATCCCCAGTGGTCTCATTCCGTGATACTCCACTATACCGTGGGTTTATCCATAGGTCATCGCGTATTCAAATTATCTGCCCTTGATCGTATTCAAATTATCTGCCCTTGACCGGAGCTTGAGTCTGCGAAACAATCAAAATTTTAAAAATAAACCGGTCTTAGCCACATTGTTTACGTTCATTAACCTGGCACACGATAAACTTGCACACTATAAGGATATTCAACACACGATAAGCAGAAATCTACTTGGCACGCAGTAAGAAATTCGCTGGGCGACCGTTACTGCAATGAAATCACGTGATTTGTATAGCTAATCCGAGCCTTCGACAAAATAAACCAGTAGAATATGTTGTCATTAATCAGCATGTATACTAATTGTTGAAAATAGATATTCATTTATAGAGAGAGAAAGAAACGGGGTTTAACGTCCACTCGACACAAACTAGGTCATTTCAGGACTAACATATGGTTTAATTTTATTTCAATAATTCGCTTGAGCGTAGGGGTCTTTAGCTGTGGGGGGAAACCGGAGACTCGGAGAAAACCCACGAGGTTGGACAGGCGACCCAACTCCTTGTCACGTACAACCGGGGATTCGAAACCACGCCAGTTGACTCAATGACAGGCTTTATGATACAGCGCGCACGTCCTAACCATTCGGCCATCCAACCCCCCTATTCATTTAGAAGTTCCAGTGCTTGTAATATGTCCACGTTATCCAACACAGGTTAAAGTCAGTTGATTACCTTCTTTAATTTTATTAGGACTGGTTTATGGTTCTACATAATTATAATGTTGGTGGATATGTAATAGATTTAATATAGAGTAAAACTATGAAGGTGGAATAATAAACATTAAAAATACTAGAAGTTACCAACATATTTTGGTGGATGGCACATTTACTGATGGCGTATTAGAATTCAAATTCTACACATTTCTAAGACAAATTACACGTGTCTTATAATCCACAGAACCGGGAATTGGGCAGATTGTTATAGCAACTTTTATATTATTAAAACCTGTATGTTTATATTGTTTTAACTTGCTTTTTATATATTATTATAGCATACATGTTACCCCGTCCTCATAAGCCCAGTATGAGCAGAACAGTAAAACGCTAAACCCCATTTCATTGTCATAACATACATCTTACTATTATACCTTACATCTTATATATTAAATGAAATGAAATGAAATAAAATGGGGTTTAACGTCCTACTGTTCTGCTCCTATACTGGGCTAATGAAGACGGGCATACGCCAAACAGTGTGCTATGAGGGAAATTTTGCCCGGGCAGCGGCACTATCGCCTACTCTTATATCGAATTCCAACTGCCAATGTTTACACGGGACCTCGGTTTTTCGTCTCATCCGAAGGACTAGACAGCTGCCCTCCGTCGGCCAACAATGCAAGGATCGAACACCCGACCTCCAGGCTAGCGAGCCAGCGCCTTACCCACCTAGCCACCGTGGCTCCCCTTATATTAATAGAACTTACATCATATATATCTAATTATAACTTATATCTTATATATTATTATAACTTACATCTTATATCAAGAGTGATATTATCGGTGTCACCAGTACCACACCGATTGGTAGCTGAACAATGGAGTTTTTTATTGTTCTGTTGTTTGGTACTAGTTAATTGTAAGATACTAGATGTTGAACCATCTATAATACTAGTAGTCTGTCCTGGTAATGTATTATCTGTTGAATCTATATACCACGTGAATGAAACTGTTGAATCTATTGTTCCTGTATAACACGTGATTTCTGTTACCATACCATCAGTAAATAATAATCTACTTTTATCTTTTATTGAACTGGATGTTAGGGCTGAAATAAGCATTAAACAAACTAAAATAACACACTTGAAGCTGGGGCAGAACTAAAATATTCTGTAGATATAATTTGTAACATTGTAAAAATATAGGGGGATCACGTGGCTAAGTGGGTAAGACGCTGGCTCGCTAGCCTGGAGGTCGGGTGTTCGATCCCTGCATTGGCCGAGAAAGTTCATCCTGATTTTCCGGCGTGGTTTCCCCTTGTCAGTGATGCAGGATGGAGGGCCTGACAAGGACAGCTGTCTAGTCGTTCGGATGGGACGAAAAACCGAGGTCCCGTGTACAAATTGGCGTGCACGTAAAAGATCCCTTGGCAGTTGGAATTCGATATAAGAGTAGGCGATAGTGCCGCTGCCCGGGCAAAATTTCCCTCATAGCACACTGTATGGCGTATGCCCGTCTTCATTAGCCCAGTATAGGAGCAGAACAGTAGGACGTTAAACCCCATTTCATTTCATTTCATTTTGTAAAAATATATGTGAATTTCCACTAACTTCTAATCTGGAGATTTGCACTTCCCGTGTCACTACTGCCAGCGGGAATACATGTCCATTTTCCACCGTCTCTTTTCAATGATGTACTGTTGATATATACAATACTTATACCAGTATTAAGATCAATGGTAATATTATAACCAGCTGGTCGATCACATATAGCTGAACAAGATGAAATCCTCTGATCATTTCGTCTCCATATAATAGAATTTGGTGGATTAACAGTACATGTTAAAGTAACTGGTGTTCCTTCACATACATCAGACTGGTCTACAGTTAAACTAGTCTCACCTATAAAGTTAGTTAAATATAAAACAGGTTAAAGTAACTGGTGTACCTTTACATACATCAGTCTGGTCTATATCTAAACTAACCTAATTTATAAATATAAACATAGTAACACATAGAATTGAACATGGTAATCTAAACTATCCTCACCTATAAATATTCAATACTAGCAGGATACCCGGCTTCGCTCGGGGATCATAACTCCGAAACTGGAAGTGGTAGACTAACGCCACCTGGCCTATGTTACTCCCCGGTCCGAGCTACCCCTATACCCCAAATTTCAGACTCGGGGCAGACTTAGTGTAGCCGCCAACCCCGAACAGACAGACAGACAGACAAACGACAGTCACAAATATATATATAGATTATGATGCCGTTAAACCCAGTCTAAACTTGTCTCGCCTATAATTTGAAACATAGAATAATAGCAGTGCAAAAATCACTTCTCTCGCTCTGCACATGTAACGACACCAAAATACTAAATGATAGTCTCAATATGGCGACATGTTAGTCTCAATATGGCGACATGTTAAAGCCAATTGCTTCTGATTAAAAAACAAAGGATTGCTTGATTATGTATCATTCATATTATAATTCATAATGATGTGTTACCTATATTATCAATATGAAATGGCAACTTGAAGTTTAGTTTGAAGAACTAGTGATATATACATAATTAGTTAATTTTATGAATATTTGTATAGTTAATATTGAACACATCGCATCCTTATGTTGTATATTTGAGAAATGAGAATTAACAATACAGGGACATGGTGGCCCATGCTTTTGCATGAGGAACAAGATTCCGTCCAGGCCCCAAAAAAACAATATGTATATATTTGTGCGAGGAAGGAGCAGTGTCCCTCCCAGTGCCGCCGACTAATATTGGGCTGTATGGAACATACTAGAATCGATTTGTAGCACATCTCACCCACGGTATATGTTTGACACTGGTTGAGCTTTATGATTATTATTTAATGTTGAAAACAGCATTGAAACCGCGTCGTTTTGCCATTTGTGTGTGGCTGGGGGGGGGGGGGGCGCAAAAACTCAAAACCATGACGCAAAGCTCATATGCATGTACACAACCAAATTTAAGAATAAGAAATATACATGAACACAAACCAAATTAGTTTGATGAAAATTATACTAGATAACAGTGAAGACATCGAATCATTATGTTGTTATTTGAGATATGAGAATCAGTGATATACGTTAACACAGAAATGTGGTTGGTCACAACAATTATAATTTATTTACGGGTTTATTTCAGTCAGCTTATTTAAATATACATATCTGAGATTCATTACAGGTATGAATATAGAACCCCATTGTATTTACCGTTGTTACTGTCATATACACCCGAGACAGTGGGTAGGCTTTGCCTGTTCCCTAATCCACTCAGTTTCTGAATAAATATTGTTTATAAAAACAACCCATAAACAAGTAACCAACTTACCTCTGTACATAGACACCAATAGAAGTAAGACAATGTAAAACACTACAGTGTGCATACTATCAAATTATATATACTTATATACAATCTTTAACTTACAAGTCTATATCTTCTATATCTTTTGATGTCTTGTTAATACCGTATAGAGCTATTTACAATTCATAGCTGATCTATGAAAACGACTATTTGTGTTTGAATACAGACAAAATATAGCCAAACGTATATCTTATGTACAAAGTAAACCTTTGTAATACAATATTACAACGTGCATTATTCTTTTAGTCATTTGATAATTAACGAGATCGTATTGTATCCTTGAAGGCCGAAGAATGAACAGAGCAATAGCAATAGGAATAGATGCTGCTATTCTTTAATAGCAGCCATAAACGTTCCGTATGGGAAGACATTTTAATTAATGCAATCTAATAAAAAATGATATATAATCCCATAGACAAAGATGATATTTTGGTTTTCGTCAGGGACTTCTGCTACTACCCATCATCTATTGGGGCAGGGACTGGCGATCAACAGAGACCGGGAACAGATCCAGCATATTAGGTCTGATCTGGCTAGCCTTGAGAAGAGTTAGAGCTTAGGGATTGTCGGGCAGTACTAGTGGCTCATTTACCACTTGCAGTCCTTCTGAGACGTCTCTTTGGAAGCATGGTGAAACTCCGGAGGCACCTGTAGTACTATAATTGATTGTCTTCATCTGCACAGCTTGAACGTTGAAAGGGAATGTGAATTACAAGACAGCGCTGGGGATCTATAGACCTGGAGACAGGACGGGGTTGCAATAACCGCGCGTTCGAATGGACTAAAAACGAGATGAGCGGTTATAAACTATGACTACCGACGGTTTTCTCTGCTTTGAAACGGCAAATTTACCCGATCTGAACTTGATATGAACTGACCATGGGCGGCGCACAGACGAGAGGGATGTATTTAAGACTGTTCATGAGCGATCTAGGATCGCATTACATACATTGTTTACACATTTACGTCATCGAAAAATGTTGTGGTCGTGATTCGGCGTCTTTAAGAACTTCTTTGCATTGGCTTTGTGTGATATGCGGGAATAAAACATTTGAACTATATAGTAGGATCATATTTTGGGACTTGGTGTTGGGTCTAACGTAAAATACCCGATATAGGCCCCTGGTATACACCAGAGATTCAATATTTTGTGTGCACTACTTTAAACCTCAACAACCAACAGTCATTGCTGCATTTCATATAATCATTTCAATCGTACAAAACGCGTGCTGTATTACGAGCATAATTGAAGGAATGTCATTACTAGATTGACCCGAAAAGATTGACAAAGAAATGATTGACAAACAAATGAGTGTTGTGTTGTGACGTTACATTGTAAAAGACAGGGACTTTGACCGTTACACTCATGGTAGTTTATGAGGACGCAAAAATACTTCAATAGACGCCACAGATAGAAAATAACTGTACCACTATCGATGATCTCCACCTCTCTATTATCCATTAACACAGAGCAAAGTTTTGGCTTTACAAATATCATTTATTTCAAGTATTTTGTATAATCTATGCATCAACAAAATGTGGACCCTAAAGGGCAATTGAATATAAATTATTATCTATCACAAGCAAATTAAATTATATAAAGCTATTGATAAGAGGCAAGGAGTTTCTATTCTTGTCCTGCGAAATATACGATAACATTAAATTTGTACAAGTAATTAACCGCATTTAGGATGAAATAACTTTAATTAGCGTTCAAGGTGCTATCAACGAACAGTTGAAATCGTTTTAGCTCTATCACAACATCGTCCACCAACAGCATCGATTTGATGAGATATTTTGTTGCTTGCATTTAAATTACTTGATTTATATGGGTAACGCGACAAATTGGGTGAATTAAACGCAGCATTTTTTTTACAGTTCATACGCCTCATGTGTTAACAGAACATAATTAATATATTAAAATATAATAATGATAATGATGATACGATATCAGGGATTTTATATTGAGACTGCTCCAAACACTTACCATATATGGAGGAGTACGAGCCCATAATGTTGATACTCAAATAAAGAGAGAGAAAGAGAAATGGGGTTTAACGTCCACTCGACACAAACTAAGTCATTTCGGGACTAACATATGGTTTAATTTGTTTTATTTCAATAATTCGCGTGCGCGTAGGGGTCTTTAGCAGTGGGAGGAAACCGGAGGTTGAACAGGCGACCCTACGCCTTGTCACGTACAACTGGGGAATCGAAACCCCGCCAGTTGACCCAATGACAGACCGTATGATACAGCGCGTGCGTGCTAACCATTCGGCCATCCCCCCCCCGGATACTCAAATAAAGGTCTGTAAATACGAATGGGCCGGAGAGGAATAATGATTGGACGTTAAATCCCATTTCATTTCTGTTTATTCGCAATTGTAATTTCCAAGTTCAATAACTAGATCATTACACGACATGGAATTTCGAATGAAGACACAGGCGCAAATTTTAATGTGTCACAAATGACGCCCCCCCCCCCTCCCAAGAAAAAAAAACAACTGGTCAGATCTTCATGTAGTGCAGGCCATCGAAAGTATAAAAAAAACGAAACGAAATATAGATCTGTATTTTAATCCGATTGAATTTTCTTTATCTTTTAAGTAACCATTTATAGCTAGAAGATTTGTATTTTATAGGGTTTTTTATTATAACTGGTTGGTTGCATAAATGTGGTTTCCTTTATATACGTTAATTAGCATTTATCTTATAATATTTACCAAATTATCTCATCCGAATGTACAAAAATAGTATAACTTACCAGTAGGAAACGGTACTGTGTATGTATCCGACCCCCCAGAACTGTACTCTACTCTGAATGTAACATTAAAATATGCTGTAATATTTAATATTTCTATCTTATATATCTGGCCGACATCTTCACAGTAGAAGTTAAATCCCGCTCGTGTAAATGGAATTGCCATACATTCCTTTCCCGAAGGACCGATTTCAGAAATATAAAAGAAAATATCGTCTCTGTACCAGTCAACTCTAGATTCAGGAGTAGCAGGCTTCATAGTTACATTAAATGGACCATTATGGGGCACTGGCTTCTCGATGATGACTGTACTGTAAACACTTACTGCAATATATAAAAAATAGGAAACATCCAAATAGTAGTCATTATATTTGAATCAACTGATTAAAATCTTGTTTAATGCAAAACAAATTAGAAACATACTCACTGAAAATTACAAAATAAACTAATAAACTGAAAACTCGAAGTTCCAACATTGCAGTTGTTCAATTGAGTTGTTGTTTAGTTTATGTTCCTCGCATATAATAGCTGTCAAGTCAAATAAATCTTGTTCAAAGTGTATAACCATTGTGATTGTGGTCGAGTATTTGATTTGTAACTAATGTTCTTTCACACATATATATGACATGTATTATTAACACACCAAAATGAGTGTATATATAGAGCGGGGTGTAATATAAACTCATTAAACTAGTTGTGTAACGCAAGTGTAATAATAACCAGGGACACTTGGTAGCTTTTTGAT